AACTCGATAAACCATCCAGAATCATTTGATTTATGTTAAATGAGTATCTTAGTAAATAAGATGCATCTTGTGTTATATCCGCTTTAATCTTATATTTTGTATTGCATTAGCAAGATCACAATTGAGAATAGATAAAGCCGGAAACTTTGCTTTTAATAATCTCTGTTGAACAGTAATTGATAGGTTTTCATATTCCGTAAGAAATTGGATTTCTTTGAGAACGTCATCATCAAAGGCATTCCAATATTTTGATGAATACTCTTCAGTATCAGGAAGTAACGTATGGTTATGCGAATTGTTAAAAGAGGTAAGGACTATATTTTGAGAATTTTTGGGACAATTGAAATTTGCATTCCATATACATTATTGGCGTTTTGATTTATGGTCTCGATGTTTATTAATATCGATTAGTTTTTTTAGTTGATAACGGTCGCTAAATTCACATCCAAAACTATGATGCTTAATGCTACCATCTTCATGGCGAGCTAATCATTTCTTATAATTGTAAATCCATGTTTTTTACCATAAGTCTCCATAATAGTATCAATACTTCCCATGATCTAAAGACATAGCTGATACAAAGGTTTATATCTGATTAAGGTAAAGTGATATGTCAGTATGCAAGTAAATTGATTAATAAATAGATGCAAAATAAAAGTTAATATATTACCTACATCTTCTGAATCCAGGAGTGCTATATTGTTCGATTTGTCTTGCGAGTTCAGAGGTGTTATATTATTCAACTTGACCTGCAGGTCCAGAAGTGTTATATTGTTAGACTTGACCTGCTCTATATTGGAAAACCAATCAGATATCTTACATAACTTACATGAATCGATTTTTTACTTTCGGATAGATAAAGTATTTACATATCATAATCACAAAGCATCATGAAGGAAGTATCACTTTGAACGGATTCTTGGGTATGCAACTCATATATATCCATCTCAATAATAATAATTTTGTTTTTTGTAGGTAAAAATCACCGTAATGCAAAAAAAGTGGAGCGAAAAAGTGAAATTGATGACTATTATGCAAAAAAATTGATCGCAACGCAAAAAAAAAGTGAAGCGAGAAAGCTTTATTGGGGTTGAATGATTATTACGCAAAAAAAATGACCGCAATTTGAAAAAAAAGAATGAAGGAGAAAAGGATTACACAAGAAAATAGCTAAAATGCGAAAAATGCAAAGCCAAACCAAAAATTGATTACTGCAATTCTATTCGTTATAATATTTAGTAGCTCTTGTGCAAACTTATTAACTGTTTTAATTTTTTCTTTAGCTACTGTACCGTCTACTAAATTTTAGGGTAAGTATCTTTTTACAAAACTTCCAAAGAGAAAAAAAAAGCTTTAAAAAATATAACAATTTTTTATAACACTTGTGATTTTGAATCATGTGTGACATAACACAAATGTGATACAAAATCTTCATGACGTGACGCAGTCATGATCTATTATGATGCGAACGGTTTTGCATTATACGAAACTTGTGACATGCGCGCAGTGATTTATCATGTTATATTACACAAATTTCCAAAAAGGAAATTAGTGTAACATATTTTGCGACCTTAACCAACAATTTTGTAAGAAATAAAATCTCCTTTTTTGGAAATTTGTGTAACGTCACATGATAAATCTGAGGTTGTTACAAATAAAACGTGTAATGGGTTGTTACAAATAACTTTTCCTTATAATAAAGGTTTCAAAAATATCATTATTTGAAATATTCGAAGTTTTATTAGCTAAGGAAGTTTCAAGTTTTGTGATTTTTTTTGATCACGTTTAGCAGGAATTAATATTTTTTAGCTTTTGACCATGCTTGGTAAAAGTTTTAGTAGCTAGTTTTTGATGTACTTGTTAATTTGTAATTTTAGAAGGCATAGAAAAAAGAGTTTTTAAATAAATATAAAATATCAATTGTTACAACTTTTAAAATATAATTAAGCTTTTTATCAAAAAGTTTATTATATATAAAATTTGACTTTTATAATATAACTTATTATTAGAACAATATTATTTATATTATTTTTATTATTTATATATAAATAAACTTTATTTTATATAATTAATAATAAAATATAGTCTAGTTCATTTTTATTTATAGTAATTTATTAAAATAGTGTTATTTGTTTTAAAAATTTAATACAAATAAGGTTAGTTCTAAATATTTTGTATAACAATAGACTAAACAACAATAATAGTAAATGAATCATAGAAAAATATTACATCATATATGTAATTAAAAATACTATAAACGTAAATTTTATATAAATAAATAAAAAATAAAAAGACTAATTTAACAATAGAATAAACTTTTTTTTTACTTTTTTTTTTAAAAAAATTGTATTATTCAACTTTATTTATTTAATAAAATATTTAAACCTTCATTCTTAATAAATTTAATCTTTTTTACTTATATCACAACTAAATTAATAAACAAAATCAATTTCATTGTTTTTATTTTAATGTCATTCTGTTCATCCTTAACAAAATATTTTAAAATCGTTATATTTCCTTTAATAAAGAATGAAATTATATTAGGCAATGATATAGAACCTCTAAAATATTTTTGTAACTATATTTGAATATTAGAATGAATAGTATTATAGATATTAATAATTATCTTTATAATACATATTAATTCTCTTTTAGCAATATTTAAATTATAGAAATAATATAATGAAAAAAATGTAAGTGATAAAAAAATAAACAGGAAAGAATTATATGAAAGAGAGGAATTATATGACAAAGTAGTAATGTATAAAGAAACAATAAGTAAAGAAGATTCTAATGAAAAAATAGAAAGTGAAGAAGAAATAAATGATGAAATAATTATTAATAAAGCTTTCAGTTCTAATCAAATGCCATAATTAATAAATTTAGATTATGCATTCTATTTTAATAATATCACTGAAGCTCTATTTTTTTGCTAAATGCAAAAATATAATATATGTATGTTAATTATTTTTAGTGATTTTAAAATAATAATTTTAATTTACATTAGTTTTTACCAGCAGCCCAAGCTTATGATGAGCTAATAGATATAATTCATCATCCATAATTCTGAAATGAGGATGTTGTATCTAATTGTTGACGATTTAGGAAATATAGGCAAAGGTTGCTATTAATTCTAATTAAATCTTGCTAAATTCACATCTCTAGCAAAAAATACTATCACATCTAAAAATATTGAAGAAACATATTATTTATTTATTTCCAATATTATTTGGTATATTTTAAATAATTCTTTATTATTTAATAAAATATATTTTAGACTAGGACAAGAAGTCACAAGAAATCAAGAACTATGGTATAGAAATATTTAAAAAGAATTGGCGAGATTTGGATAAGCTTCTATTACAATTAACTAAGGTAGTTAAAGTATTGAAGTGTTCTTTAATAAATTATTTGCTAAATTTTTTTTTATAGAAATATACTATTCTGAGAATTTTGTAATCTATAGATTTAATGATTCTTTAAAAATAATCAGTCAGATATTAGTAATCGTTCAGCAAAATAACTAACTAAAAATTAGGATACAGCATATTTTAAGATATAAAGAGTTGCCAAAGAATCTGCAAAGTAATATTCAAAAAGAAAGATCATATAAAGGTAAAGTCTGGTTTTTTGATCAAGAAATGAATAATGTAATTGTAATCATCAAATTGCAATTAATTATTAAATATATACTAATTAATATTCTTTATGATAATATTAGCAGTAAACATTCAATTAAGATTTGTGCAATCTTTTATAAACATAATAGATACTAGAAATTAAGAGGTATCAAATATTCTTATTAGTATCCTTCAGAATTTGCTACATTTACAGTACTAGTAATAAATCTTTTAGTTTACAAATTATATATTAACCTTTATTATAATAATTTTGAAATGTTTCAAAATGTATACTATTCACTAAACAGAGTTTACATCTAATTTAGTAATATATCATTTGCTGAAAAAAAATGTTTCAAGAACTAATTTACTTAGTTTTGTTCCATTCAATAGCTGTTTTGATGAGTTTATTAAACCCTTTATTGAAAAAATAAAGGTATTGAAGAATGGAAATATCATGAAAATTTATGAAACTGAATGTCTTGTAATTATGTATTTAAATGATATTATAGCTGACTTACCATAAGGAAATGACTTAGCTTGAATTAAAAGCAAAGTTGCTAATAGGGGATGTCATACTTGCAATATGATAAAGGATTCTTTAACATCTGATAATCTTGATTTACTATTGATTTCTCTGTTATTATCATCAAATGAACAAATAATTCAATTATTTATTTGTTGCATCTATATTAACAGAATATAAAGAAATTGCTACAGACTATAGAATATGCTTACAACCTTCAATACAGTCAGAACTCGATATAACAATTCAAAATAAACTGATTTTAGCTTATACCGATCTTTTTTCTCAAATCAAAATCATATATAATTAATCTTACTACTATATACTGATTTTTTTATAAATTTCACAATATTACATATACTGATATCAGATCATAAATCAGCTATATATATTTATTCGTGATAAGCTGATACCATTTTTTTTTCAATATATCAATCATCATTATAAAAAATTTTTTTTATTCTATATGCTAATTTTTATCGATCTTCACCAAATATTAGCAAAATAACGAATTTTAACTATAAAATATATTTTTTATTAATAATTCATCCCCTTTGATAACTTTTTTATAACATTAGCATATCTACAAATAATAAAAATAAGTATGTTACCCTATCTGTATTTCAAAAGCAAGAACTTTGTCAAAAGAAAATTGATAATCTGAATATTTCAAATATTGAACTTGCTGTTTATTATAATGTAAAACCTAATACGGTTAGTGATATTTTAAAAAGGAAATCTGAATAATTATCTACTCCTAACTCAGAACTAGAAAGAAAAAGGTTAAGGCAACCTATATATAAAGAAATAGATAATGCTGTTAGAATTTAGATATCTTAATTTTTAGCCGCAAATTAAACATTAAGGGGTGATATCATACAAAATAAAGCTAAACAGTTTGCAGTTAAATTTGGCATTACTGGATTTACTGCTTCTGCAGGCTGATTGACAAATCTTAAAAGAAGAAATAATATCCGCTTATACATTAAATCGGGTGAAGTTACCAGTGGACCTTTATTAGAAGAAATTGATGAATATAGACAAAAAATTAGTGAAAAATTATCTGAATATGCATTGGAAGATATTTATAATTGTGATGAGACAGGTATTTTTAATTAAATATACAATATTATTACTTGATTTTTAAATGTTTTGATTTATTTATTATTTATTTTTTTT